AAACTCCTCATATTAAAATGTGCATTTTTCCATGGCACTATTTTTGTAATTTTACAGCTTTGGTTCATAGTCATATGAGGAAATAAATGAAATTGAGTAAAAAATATTATATTTAAAACTGAAAGGTTAACTAAAAAAAAGCAGTTTGGTAAAAATAAAAAGATATCTCCACAAACAGATAATTTTTGTATTAAGAGGCTAAGGATATTAAAATTTATAATAATTTTTTAAAGGACTCAATTAGTATCAACATAAGTTATATTAATTAACTTTGAAAGATTTAATTTTTTTAATATTCTTCTTTTAATGAAGAAAAAGTATTGGAAAATCAATCTTTTTGTATGTTAAAAAAAAAATAAAATTTAATATATCTATATTTTGTATTGTTACCTAATAAACTGTTAAGGATACAGTTCTATTTACAGTACTGTCTTTATCCAAAGAGCAGCCGAGGCATAAACCCAGGGGGGCTCGAAACGCTATAACCCAGTGATCATAATTTTTTAAATTCAAATTTTAAAAACATATAAGCCTAACGTAGCTTCAACTTTTCTAAAATTTGACACTAGACACTAGAGTTTGGTATGTATAATTTATAATTTTATACGGGGTGATAATTTAAAAACCTACAATGCGTACATTTCATGAACCAAAGATGATATTAGAAAAGTAAAACGTAGTAAAAACAATTTATTTTGTACTCCTGGGCTAGAAATATACAATTGTATATAATTCAGATAAACATACCATCTTCTTTTTTAAGTATTATCTACTATCTACTGTATAGGGTATAAACTATTGAGTTAAAAATCATTTTTACTAGTTTTCCAATGATGTCTGACAATAAAGAGCTGCTATTTGTATACTCTTAACACAGTAATCTATAAAGAGTATTTATTTATTATAGGTTTTTAATATAAACATTTTTGTATCAAATTTTAAGCAACTTTTAAAAATGTTCGTCAGTCTAATATCACGTTTTTTGTCCACATGATAAGTCAAAAACGAAAAATGATTTCCATTTGAAATTTTTAGGAAAAATCAAGCTCTATAAGAGGATGAAGTCTGTTGATTCGAAAAAAAATATGATTAGAAATGGTGGAGATAGAAGTGGTTGAAATTAAAAAAAATAACAATGCATAATGCAGATAAAAAAAATATTAAAATGTTTTCGTTTAATACGAGGATGGAATAAATATTTTCTGAAATCAAGAAAAAATATGGGTTGAAAACTATTTTTAGTTTTCTACATACTCTCCGTATACTTCATACATTTAGTCCATCCTTGCTCAAGAGCTTCGCTACAGGCTGATTGCCCAGTTTTTTTAAAATAGGCGTTTGTGGCAGCAATCACGTATTAATTCGAGGCAAATTTTTTACCGACAAGAATTTTTCAAATTCGGAAACAAATGGTAATTCAATGAAGCTAAATCTGGTAAATAATGCGCATGAGTTTAACTCATAACTTTTGATAATTAGCAATTTGCAGCAACTTGCATTGTTCTGGTGGAACAGAATTTTCTTGGACGTTTTTCATGAACATTTTGATTTAACTGGTCAAGTAAGTTGGCGTAATACTCAGAATCTATTGGTTTTCTATTTTTAAGATAGTTTATAAAAGTACTGCCTCTGACAGCTTAGAAAATTGTTGCCGACGGAATTGCCTTTGCCTTCTTCGGTTCGTCCCTTGCTGTCCAGTGTTTTAATTGTTGTTTTGTCTCGGGGGTATAATGGTGGGCTCCCACGTATAATCGACAGTAACACATCAGGGTAAAAATGCAGTTGAGGAACGCTTAGAGCTTTCTCATCTCTAAAACTTTAGTTACAATATGGTGAGTTTGCTCTTTCTATATGCCCACACCTTAGCTATTTAATCCAAATGTCAGAATGGCTTGATACTGACTTATTTACATTTTGGTCAAAGTAGGGTGTTTGTTTGGTTGTCAAAGGCATGATACATTGTTATAAATAAATTTTGACATTTGCCAGTTTCCCCTGCAGAAAAGGAACGTTTTTTGAAGTAAACAACGTATAAACCGTTAGCGTTTTCCTTTAATTTCATAATATCAATGTGAATTATGCTTGTAATAGTAATAAATAAACTTTAAATATGAACGTTATAATCCATAACGCACTAGTGAGTTATGGATTATAATACACTAGTGTGTTATTTGATAGTTTACTTGTCTAAAATGACATCAATAATGACAGTCATAACTGTCATGTGTTGAATAAATTATTTTTATTTATTATTACTAACCCTACACAAATTTTTGTAATTTATTCACAAGAATTAGTCATAAACGAGTCCCTAAGGTGGAAATATTTGATCTGATATAAATCAGAATATGGCAACAAGAAACAAAATAAATATTTGGTAGCAAAATAATTTCTTCGACGTATATACATCATATAAGCGCGCAATTTGAAAACATTATCGTAATCACTGTGAGCAAACACAATAGTGCGTCTCGGAAAAAAGGCTCATTATATTTTTTCATTCATTATAACAAACTCGCCTCAAAAGATCGCAAAATGCAACTAAAGATAACATAATTATTGCTAATTATTGTTTGAATAGTTTAATTATTTTTATTAAACGAAGCGATAATTTCAGTTTATTTGTAGAAAGTGAACAATTCTCAGTTCTAGGCTGGGAAATATTTCTTGATATCTGTGTTTAGTTGCACAGTTAATTATTGGTATGATTTTACGTTCCTTTTAATTTTACGCTACATTATATTTATTACATAATGTTTGTTGATAAACAAACTAACCACCCATAAAGCAGACTTTTATAAAGGCTCTACACATTACGATTTTTGTGAGATTCATCCATAACTCAACGTGAAGTACTCGATCTGACTCACATCTGGTCTCTTCCCTTTTGTCCTCTTTTGACTAATGTGAAGATGAAGAGTGAAATGAGCTGATTAAATCTTGCCTTTAGATCAGAACTATCCGTTATGGCATGCAGGTCATATCGGAGCGTGTAGGGCCTCCATTAGTTATAAGAGGGTTCAACCTTTTTCAGGTTGAAACCCCCTTATAATTCATAAAAATCACCACGTCTCGTCTTTATATATTTTGGGAGTTTCCATTTTAAGAACAATTTATGACAGCAAATTATATAGCCCCTTCAAACCCTTGTATCTTTTGAATATCAAGAGGGTTCGTATGATACTTTATTTTAAAGGGCTTAAATTCAACTTTTTAAATTCAACTTTTTAAATTCAACTTTTTAAATTCAACTTTTTAAATTCAACTTTTTAAATTCAACTTTTTAAATTCAACTTTTTAAATTCAACTTTTTAAATTCAACTTTTTAAATTCAATTTTTTTTAATTTTACTTTTTAAATTCAACTTTTTAAATTCAATTTTTAAATTTAATGATTGTTTCAAATAACGAAGCTGATATAATGATTAATCCTTAATCTGCATATACATATATTTTTTACAGCTATTTCGAATAGTAACATATATCGCACTATTACTGAGGCCCTTCCTATGGGGCCTTAGTATTGCATTCGTGCAAACGAAAAACTTTTCTTACCACCATTTTTTAAAACTTTTTTTCACGTTTCCGATCATTCTGAGTCCGAAAATGCAAAAAAAATATTCGTCTGGTTGTCTGCCTATGCATTTCTTATGTGACTAATTTTATGAATTCCAATTTATGAATTTCAATCATTCCTAACGGCTAACATTCCTAACATTCCTAACATTCCATACATTCCAAACATTCTCCAACGACCTGTCAAACAACAGCTGTTGATTGTAAAGGTTAGATTTTTAAGGCGGGTTAAGACCTTCATACTTGCAACCATAGCCATTTTAGAGGCTATTTTAATTCTAAATTAGTCGCCTAGCCTGCCAATTTATAAAAAATATATAAGTAGTTTCTTAAAGATGACTTTTTTATGGTGGTGCTAAATTAAGCATACCACTAATTCGCCCCTAGCCACAAAAACACTTTCATCAAATTTACTGGCTCTCTGTCGCAACCCCATAGAATAATTAACCGTCCATTTTATTTGTCAAAAATCAGAATAATACTTGTCTACGCCTGTCAAGTATGAATATATCAACTGTGATGTGTGAATGGCTCTTAAATGTCAAATTATTTAAAAATGTTTGTATGCTTCTTTTGATATTTATTGCAAATAATTTATAGTGTATCTGAATTCAGGTTTTGCATAAATAAAGGTACAGCAAGACAGATAATATAATGTTCTTATATAAAGTACTTTTTTATTATATAAAAGAGAGGTAAGTCTCGATAAGGTGAGAACTACCATTTTAGCGTCTCTCGAATTTATTATTATGGAAAATGCCCTATATACCCCACGTGTGTATATGAATTTACTTTGCACTCTTGTGCAAATATGAATCTACTTCCCGCATCAGCTGTCAAATATGTCAGATACATTATTTCTATTTTGATATTAAATTTTTATACCTAAATCCTAAATATTCATTTTTAACAAATTATTAAAAAATTTTAAAGTAAGTACATTATTTTTTTTTTTCGATCAATAAACACATTTGATCATACAGAGTGGCCCAAATGTCTGAAAACGGCCAATTATCTCGTAAAGTGCTAGTCCTAATTGTACAAAATTTGGGTTGCACCTATTTTGGGATACGGTGATTCCAGATTTGATATTTGCAATGTTGCCAGATTTGCCGTTTTTCTTAAATTATTAGTCATTTTAGTTTTTCAAAATTATCACCCTATATATTCAGTCATTATTGGAATCTCCTATTCAATACGAGTTTAACCATATGTAACACTTATGATTTTATGTAGACAATGTCAATGTAAATATTTGTGTCAATTTATTTCACTTTTTTATGATACTTTCATTAGTCAACGGGTATTTATTTGCCCACACACACTTTTGTACTTTAGTTCCAAATGCTTTTCGAATTTATTAGAACAATTACTTTTGTCTTACTACCTACTTATTTATTTTAATTCACGCTATTCGAATTTTACTTTGTTGGATCTTTCTTCTTTTCGCTGTTCATCTTGATTTTGGTAAACTAAAATATAATCAGTTCGTTATTCGGCAACATAATTATATATAAATCTTACTCGTTAATGAATCCTTGGATGGAAACTGAAAATTTTTATTTTTAAAATAGTTTTTTATAATTCAAAATTTGAAAAGAGGTGCTTCTTTTTTTTCTAAATAAAATATTAATAATTTCTAATAAATCAGAAAATTATTCGTTGTAAACTAATAATCTGACAACTAGGAAATACGAACTAAACTACTTTTATTACTCTAATTAATCATTCTTGACAAATAGGTATGTATAATGTACTAGTTATTTAGAAATTCAAATTAAAATCATGTACTTAGATATCTGCTTACTTGATCTATGATATTGCTCTATGATTTAAAATCAAATCAATTCTTTTTAAGTATGTTTACAAGTAGATATTTTCTATAAATGATTTTTAAATTGATTCCTTGTGAAAAATTATTACTATAATATAATAGATAGAAACAAAATGGAAATGTATGGGTATTTTTATAACAGTAGAGTAGTTTTGTTTATGGTTATCTCAAAATTGTCATCCTGGGGTGCTTAAAGCTTTTGAAAATTCTATAAAATCAGGTGATGTTAAATTGTTATGGGGATGAAAGGTTATTAATTTTAAGATTGTCATGAAAATATTTAAATAGTCTACATATTAATTTCTTAATATTTAATCAATGTATTTAAAAAAATGAACCAGACACCAAATTGGTAATACAATTGAAAAATGTTTAAAGCAGTCGTCATCATTAAACAAAAAATAAAATTTATAGTTGAGCAGAATCAATGGGAATGGTTAACATCTAAAGGTTTATTGTTTATTTCAATCATAAGACTTTAAAGAACTTTCTAAGTATCATGATCCTAGACATCTTGGAGAATCAACGAAACACCAAACCACAGTCTTTGAACTCATGCAAAAAGCTCTTAGGCTGACAGAAATGTGGTGCGTTAGGGAAAACCTCTTGGAAAACCCTGATAAGGCACAACTCATAACCTTTACTCGGAAAACAAGGTTGGAGATTTTAGAAACTCCGACTCTGTTTGGAAGAACGCTAAACAAAACGAACCAAGTAAAATATCTGGATCTAATCCTAGATACCAAACTTACCTGGAACCAACACTTACAAAAAGTGACCAACAAATGTAAAATGTCTCTCATTGTAGGAAGAAGGGCATTTGGAAAAACATGGGGATTAAAACCAAAAATGGTCCACTGGCTATATTTGGCAATAACAAGACCCATGATAACTTATAGAGCGGTTGTTTGGTGGCGAAAAGTAAACCAGAAAAGAGCCCTCAATACCCTTCCAAGGGTACAGAGGTTGGCATGACTTTGTATTACAGGAGCACTGAGAAGTACACCGACAACCTCTATGGAAATCATTCTAAACCTTCCACCCCTTGACCTAGTCATAAAGGGGGAGGCCAGAATGAGTGCATACAGACTGGAAATCTCCAACAACTGGAACCCACTGGGATATATAAAACATACCAAAATGACACATGAAGTAAATGATTCTATATTAAATATGGGATCAGATCACATGACACCCCTCCTAACCTTTAACAGACTCTTCCAGGTCAACTGTAACTGGGACGAGGTAAATAAGAAAATAGATAAATATTTGCTTAGCGGTCTCGAATGGTATACGGATGGATCTAAAACTAACAAGGGAACATGCTTTGGCGTACATGGAGCTAAACCCAAATGCGACATCATCGTCTCATTGGGAGAACATGCCACTGCATTTCAGGCTGAAATACATGCAATCGAATTGTGTGTACGAGAGAATTTAAGAAGGAAGTACAAAAAACAAACCACCCTAATTCTCTCAGATAGCCAAGCAGCTTCAAATGCTCTTGATTCAAACAGAATCAAGTCAAAGCTTGTCTGGAACTGCCCCGGAATACTAAATGATCTGGCAACCCACAACAAGGTAAAATTAGCGTGGGTACCAGAGCACAAAGGTATCCAAGGCTGATGAACTCGCCAAAGATGGATCAGATCTACCATTCACAGAACTCGAACCTGTATTTGGGATGTGCAAAACCTCTGCTCGACAGGCAGTGAACAGGTGGATAACCACAAAACACCAAATTCACTAACAACAGATAAGAGGGTACAGAATCAGTAAGCTCATGCCAAGGGGACCAAACCCACGCATGGCTACTGGGGCACTACAGCTCACAAGGCCTCAGATATCCACCATTGTGGGATTACTAACGGGGCATTGATTGTTGAAACACCTTCATGTAATGGGATTACACAATGATCCCACTAGGTGTAGACTTTGCATGGAAGAGGAAGAAACCTCATACCATGTGATCTTCGAATGCGAAGCTCTTACTGAGCAACGTTTCATCCTTTTCGGCCTAGAACCGGAAAGAACGCCCCAGGAACACTTGGTAGGGAACCTATTAAAATTAACCAAAGACATATGACTATTCCAAAGATAGTACCTGAATACGGGGAATACAGGGGAATCCAATAGACCCAAGAGGCCGCAGTGTTCTGGGCCAAACGTAACCTGCTTACAACCGATAAAGATAAAGATTGTTACTACGGTATCAATTAAAACTCCCAGACCGGATTATTTGGTAAGAAATAGATATATTTTAATTATGTAGAAGCCAGTTTACAGAGCACCGTGAAAGCTTTAGTTTTAGGTATAAATTAATTTTAAATTGGTCAACATGTTTTTTTTTATTTCGATGGATGGATTTTTCTTACACAGTGTGTCCGTAAAGTATGGAACAAATTCATTTTTAGCTAAACAGACCATTTTAAGAAATAATTCTGAAACACGTCGATTTTTGATTTTAATTTAACGTATTTTAAAATAATAATGTAATACAGGGTGAATTACTTTCGAGTTATGACGTCACCATCATTTTTTTTTAAATGGAACACCCCCATTTTGTCTCAATTTTCGGATTACTCTAGCTGAGCTGATTCCAAAAATGTATCACATGTTGATTCCAATTGGTACAGGGTGGGAAAAATACAATAGTTTTGTGTGTGCTCATAAAGTAATTATGTTGTTCTATGAACTAATTCGATAAATCTAGCCATTTTCGATATACGGACTGAATCACGCAAAACAGTTTCATCCTGTTTTTTGGCATTATTCATTGGATTTTAGGAAAATGCTAAAATATATCGATTTTTTTTTCAAACTTGTCGCATTTTCACAATGCAAGCATGTGTAATGTGTCTAATCCACCCTTCCTACTTCTCCAACCCCTCAATTTTAAATAGGGAATGTACCATGTACGGCACAATGTAAACATTCTTCAACTAGTGGAATAATGAAATCAACCGATCACAAACTACAAAATAATATGACATCATATTTATGCCCAATAGAAATTTGCTAATACATCATTATCAAAGTTGTGCTATGACTTTCGTGAATTGACACAAACGTCAAAAAATTTGATTTAAACTGACTGTGTTTTAGATATTAAAGTTTTTTTTAGATTTTGAGATCACCCTGTACAACAGTCTATAATAGTCGTAGAGAAAGTATAGTCATCAACTCACATAGAATATGGCTATTATTCTATGCTCGTTGAAGAATATACTATTATAAATTTAAATAATAGACATTACTTTACCATAATGAATAGTTTTTGATAAGCTGGAATTAATTTGTCAGCTCGAAAAGGTATTTTTTAAATTAAAAACTCTTATACCATATAAAAGTTATTTGAAAAATTTTCTTAATTAATATCTCACTGCATATATATATATACTTAAAAATTGTGGATTATGAAACCCATGTATTCACTAAATACTAATCTTAGTAATCGGTCTCCAAACAAAAATTGTGAGGATTCCGTAGTACCCCACTTTTAAAATTTATTTTTGATTTTTTTACCAACCAAAAAATAGTTACGTGTTGGTAAAGAATAAATTTGTGCTCCTCTGGAACCCTTTTTTTCTCAAAATTCGGTTTTCTTTTTTTTTTGGGAAACTGGTTAAAAAAATTCGAATTTTGTACATATTTTTGAAAAAAAATCGATTAATTGTCTAAAAAGCGTCTCCAGAGAAGCCATATTTAACCTTTACTTACACGTACATATTGCTTTCTCTTAATTTATAAGTCACTCTATTAAAAATGTTTATTTGTTCATTTCTCCTGTTTATGGATTCATGAACATAATTCTGCTTGTTCCTGTACAAATGTTAGTGGTCTTGTCTTTAAAATGTTCTTTTTTTTAAACTAGCCTAAACAACGTTTTTTCAACTAAAATCGGAAACACGTCCGACTATATAAATAATGTATGATATTACGTCGGCATACACCAAAATACGTGATTTTAAAATATGTTTCCTTTGTCACAGAGATTTTTAAACTAGATAAAACTATCTTTAGTTCTATTGGTGATATACCTTTCTGTAGACAGTTATCATTGTCGGTTCCGGTAGGAAATGACCGAAGAATATATTTTTTTTAATGCCATACAAGGAAGTCGTTTATATGCAAAATTGAATTATTTTGATATCTAGGTTTTGATAATTGTTTTGTAATTTAGTATTATATGGTTAGGGGATGAGATAAGATTAAATCGGTAAAAATTTAAAAATATATTTCTTAGAATTACAAATGGAAATTAACACATTTTTAAAGAATGCATGGGCGTCCGGACGGTGGTGGGAAGGTAGGAGGAGCAGTTGCCCCTGGCTTTTTATTTTGGTAATTCACTATTATTATTTTTGTATACATATACATTTTAGTTATTAACAAATTGATAAGGTCAACTGGGGTAATAGTAAACAAAGGGTTATTGTAAACACGCCAATAACTTTTGAATTTGGCGGGTTACAGTTTCGTTCCACACAGTGCAAGATGCCACCCCGCATCTTTTATTTAGTCCCATGTCAACCGTGTAGCCTGTTGCATGTTTTTTTTTTGTCCATTAATGATATAGAAACGAAATACTTCATTATTTTGATTGTGAATTATAACTAAAAA